CTCCCACCCTCAATCTTTCCCAGCATCAGGGTCTTTTCAAATGAGTCAGCTCTTTGCATCACCTATAGATTGTTATATAATACTGAGTATAATTTCCTGAGCTCTACAGAAGGTCCTTGTTGGTTATCTATTTCATACATAGTAGTATATATATATATGTTAATCCCTACCAGGTGGCCAAAGTATTGGAGTTTCAGCTTCAACATCAGTCCTTCCAATGAACACCCAGGACTGATCTCCTTTAGGATGGACTGGTTGGATCTCCTTGCAGGCCAAGGGACTCTCAAGAGTCTTCTCCCACACCACAGTTCAAAAGCATCAATTCTTTGGCACTCAGCTTTCTTTATAGCCCAATTCTCACATCCATACATGACTACTGGAAAAACCATAGCCTCAATTCCCTCTAAAATGCCATCAATAAAGTAGCAAAAAGCATTAATTTTATTACATTTTGATCCATGAGCATACACCTTAAAATTCTCAATGACTTAATGATTTCACATAAAGCATTTTTATTGTATACTGAAATATTTGTAGTCTCCAGGAAAGAGTATATGTGTAATGTCATAAGCTGAACTAGCAACTTTAACAAAAAAAAAATTGTGGCAAACTATACATAACAACAAATGAACTTATTTCCAAAACAGAAAGACACCCCCAGACACAGAAAACAAACTTACGGTTACCAAAGGGGGAAGGGGGGAAAGGGGAAGGATAAATTAGGAGGTTGAGATTTATATATATACTACTATCTATGAAATAAATAACCAACAAGGACCTACTGTAGAGCACAGGGAATTATACTCAATATTACATAACAATCTATAGGGAAAAGAATATACATAGCTAATATTATGCTTAATAGCCAACATTTTCTATAATATAGACAATATTACTCTAAAATCTATATGAAATGGCAAAGGAATTAGAATAGCTAAAATAATTTATAAAAAGAATAAAGTGGGAGGAACCAGCCTACCCAATTTCAAGATGCACTGTATAGCTTCAGTAATCAGGACTACACGGTACTAGAGGATGTATGGACACATAAAACAACGGAACAGATTAGAAAATCCAGAAATTGACCCACACAAATACACTGAATTTTCACAAAGGTGCAAAAATAATACTGGAGATAAAAAAAAAATACTGGAGAAAGTACAGCCTTTTAAACAAAAGGTGCAGAAGCAAATGGACATTCATAGGGAAGGGGGTTAAAGCCTCTAACTAAACATGATGTGTGTGCGCTCGGTCTCTTCAGTCACATCCAACTCTTTGCAACGCAATGGCCTGTAGCCCACCAGGCTCCTCTGTTCATGAGATTCTGTATACAAGTTTCCACAATTTTATTTGCAATAAATGAAAACTTGAAGCAACATAGATGTTCTCCAGTGAACGAACATTTAAACAAATTGGGACATCCATACCATAGCACCAAAAAGGTACAAGCTACTGATACACACAACAACTTAGAAAGATCTCCAGAAAATTATGCTAAATTTTAAAAAGCCATTCTCAAAAGTTTGTAAACCTATACCTCCATTTACATAAAATTCTTGAAATGACAAGATTCTAAAAATGGAAAACAGATTAGTAGTTGCTACGGGTTAAAAACTAGTGAGGACTGGAATGAAGTAGGTATGGCTAAAAAAGAGTAACACGAAGGACCTTGGAGATCATGGAAATGCTATATTGACTTTATCTGTCAATCCTGGTTGTGATACTGTACTACAGTTTTGCAAACTGTTACTGTAAGGGGCAACTGGGTAAAAGATACACAGTATCTCCATGTGCTGTTTTTCATGATTACATATGAATCTACAATTATCTCAAAATAAAATTTTAAATTCAGTTTTTTAAAATAGAACAACACAAAAAGTACCTCAGCTGGCACTAGAGGTAAAAAACCCGCCTGCCAATGCAGGAAACAAAGAGACTCTGGTTCAATCCCTGGGTCCAGAGATCTCCTGGAGAAGGAAATGGCAACCCACTCCAGTATTCTTGCCTGGAGAATCCCAGGTACAGAGGAGCCTGGCCGGCTACAGTCCATGGGGTCGTAAAAGATTCAGACACGACTGTTCTAGGTATCCGGCTAGTCTGGGTAATCTATTTAGCTCAAACTGCTTATTCTATCTACTCTCTCTCAAAAGATACCACCATCAACAAATATTTATTAGGCATTTGTTATGTGACAGGAACTTTATGCACTACCTTTACCTGCTAAGAACTTTACTGATTTAATCCTCATAACAGATAACTCTGAATTCTATTTTTCATATTAAGTAGCAACCTCAGACACTGCTCTCTCTACTTCATCCGCATGCCTCCACAACCTTTTTTTCTCTTCCATTGATAATAAAAAGAAGTGTTCACTCCCCAAACTAAGGGCAAACTTTTCACGTAATTACTGTATCCTTCCCTCTCAGGATCCTGACTCCATCCAATATCCTTGTTCTTGCATCTTGAACCCCTGCCTTTCAACTACTCCTCAGTCAGTTCAGTTAGTTAGTTTAGTCGCTCAGTCGTGTCCGACTCTTCGCGACCCCATGAATCACAGCACGCCAGGCCTCCCTGTCCATCACCAACTCCAGGAGACTACTCAAACTCATGTCCATCGAGTCAATGATGCCAGCCAGCCATCTCATCCTCTGCCGTCCCCTTCTCCTCCTGCCCCCAATCCCTCCCAGCATCAGGGTCTTTTCCAATGAGTCAACTCTCCGCGTGAGATGGCCAAAGTACTGGAGTTTCAGCTTCAGCATCAGTCCTTCCAATGAACACCCAGGACTGATCTCCTTCAGGATGGACTGGTTGGATCTCCTTGCAGTCCAAGGGAATCTCAAGAGTCTTCTGCAACACCACAGTTCAAAAGCATCAATTTTTTGGCGCTCAGCTTTCTTCACAGGCCAACTCTCACATCCATACTTGATCACTGGAAAAACCACAGCCTTGACTAGACAGACCTTTGTTGGCAAAGTAATGTCTCTGCTTTTTAATATGCTATCTAGCTTGGTCATAACTTTCCTTCCAAGGAGTAAGCGTATTTTAATTTCATGGTTGCAGTCACCATCTGCAGTGATTTTGGAGTCCAAAAAAATAAAGTCTGACACTGCTTCCACTGTTTCCCCATCTATTTCCCATGAAGTGATGGGACAAGATGCCATGATCTTAGTTTTCTGAATGTTGAGCTTTAAGCCAACTTTTTCACTCTCCTCTTTCACTTTCATCAAGAGGCTTTTTAATTCCTCTTCACTTTCTGCCATAAGGGTGGTGTCATCTGCATATCTGAGGTTATTGATATTTCTCCGGGCAATCTTGATTCAGCTTGTGCTTCTTCCAGCCCAGCATTTCTCATGATGTACTCTGCATATAAGTTAAACAGGCAGGGTGACAATATACAGCCTTGACATACTCCTTTTCCTATTTGGAACCAGTCTGTTGTTCCATGTCCAGTTCTAACTGTTGCTTCCTGACCTGCCTACAGGTTTCTCAAGAGACAGGTCAGGTGGTCTAGTATTCCCATCTCTTTCAGAATTTTCCACAGTTTATGGAATTCCAGTTGAGCTATTTCAAATCCTAAAAGATGATGCTGTGAAAGTGCTGCACTCAATATGCCAGCACATTTGGAAACCTCAGCAGTGGCCACAGGACTGGAAAAGGTCAGTTTTCATTCCAACCCCAAAGAAAGGCAATCCCAAAAGAATGCTCAAACTATTGCACAATTGCACTCATCTCACATGCTAGTAAAGTAATGCTCAAAATTCTTCAAGCCAGGCTTCAGCAATATGTGAACCGTGAACTTCCAGATGTTCAAGCTGGTTTTAGAAAAGGCAGAGGAACCAGAGATCAAATTGCCAACATCCGCTGGATCATCGAAAAAGCAAGAGAGTTCCAGAAAAACATCTATTTCTGCTTTATTGACTATGCCAAAGCCTTTGACTGTGTAGATTACAACTACTCCTACTCTGTCTGAATTTAGATATGTTCACGAATACTCCCATCAATTTAAAAATAAAAAGCTTCCCTCAATCTTACTAAACATCAACCATTCTCACTCTTCTTGCAGCCACTTTTCTTAAAAACTGTTCCTATTTATTCTTCCTACTTCCTTAACTTTAGTCCCTAATTCCCTACAAATTGGCTTCTGCTCCTACCCCCAGGAAAGCCTAATTTCTTTCCAGCAGTTGACACCACTTCCCATTCCTTAATCTAAACCCTCTCTTGTTTGGCCTTCTCTGACATCACCACCCTGTGAGAGCTGAAGTAAGTGACACAATTGACCTAAAAAGAGGGAAACAAAGTAGGACAAGAGACTAGCAAAGCAAGAAACGGTGAGTGGAGGTTGCTAATTTCTGAGCGGGAACTTGGGACACAGAACGCAGAAAGGGCCACCGTGGCGCTAAAACAAAGGGAGATTTTCACCATCACCTTCATCCTCTTTCTCCCTTCTTCCTTTAAGGGCCTGACGGTACTCAAGGAAAAACTACAGGGTAATGGCCACTCGAGAGACGGCGGGAGCCGGCCCCGAGGCTGCGACAAGGGCGGGCACTCCTTGTGGCGCGGCCTCCACCGAGTTGGCGGCGGCGGCGGCGCTCGGGTGTCGGCGGAACCCGTGCGCGGGTGTCGGCGGAACCCGTGCGCGAGGCCGCTGTTGCAGCTCGGCGCGGGGCCGCTGGGGGGCGGACGCGTGTGCGCGTGCGTGGCGGCCCTTCCGGCCCGGGCAGAGGCGAAGCAGCTTCTGGAATTGCGGGAACGTGGCGTGTGGATCCCAGTCGTGTAACCGTGCGGGATACCTTGTATGCGGGTTGAAGCCTGGCCGCGGCCTCCACCCGCCGCTGGCGCTAGGAGAAGAGCGGGAACACCCTGGGCTGGGTGTCCTCAGCTTGGCCCTCAGCCAGCGGCGCTGAAAAAGATACGGGGGATAGGGGTTGGTGGGGAGATGCAGGCGAAGTAGGTTTCTCTAAGATCCAGCGCCTTTAAACCCTGCGCACAATTTTTTAAAAATGAAGAAATTAAGGCTTAAGGAACTAGAGAGTCGCCTGCAACAAGTGGATGGATTCGAAAAGCCCAAGCTCCTTCTAGAACAGTATCCAACCAGGCCGCACATTGCAGGTAGGGCGGCAGCTGATCACGCCCTTGTTTTGCGGGTTAGGACTGTCTACTCTTTCTTATAACGAAAATAAGACAGTTATTTGGATACAAGAATGTCTAGAGTAATTTCGCTCTACGATTTCACGTTGCGTGGGAGAGAACTTTCTTAACACTGCAGCTGAAAACATCCCCCACACAGGACACGCTGTCGTTTTACTGTTTGGTTTTCTGCATACCCCTTAATACTGTTAGACATCTTTTTAATGTGTTTATTAATCTCATTTCACAATTAGGAGGGCAAAAATGTGCTGGTTTTGTTCACACAATTTCCAGTATCTAGAGTTCCTTATACTACTTAGGAGCTCAGTAAATATTTGCTAAATTAGGATCAGTTTCCTAGTGCAACGAATTTGCCAGGGCAAGAATTCCTGCGCGCTATACTCTGCCCTAGAAATGAATACTAAAGTTGGTAGTAGAAAGACTTGAGTTTTAACAAATTCAAAATAGGTGCAATATTAAAAATGAGGATGCAGTTCAGTTTTAACAAATGATCTGAGAATCAGTAATGTTGCTTAATAAAGATTAGTACTGGAAGTGAACACAGGAAAAACCGTTATATTAATAAACATATTACCAAAGTCATTGAGAGAGTCTTTGGAAGATTAAGTTGTTGGGAGCACCAGCCGGGAGGAATCCCCTTAACTTCAACATAGTTCTGTTTCTAAGCTGCTAAAGAAAGTCAGGGGGAAAAGGGTGTACCCGCACTTCACTCCAACATGTTTATCATAATTCCAATCAAAAGTTGCACAAAATTGTATCTGGGGTAAGACCAGTTTTCCCAGTGTAGATAATGATTTCTTTAATGTCTTCTGGCTGTAGTGAAATAGTTTTTTTTCCCCCAAATAAGAATCAGTTGTTTGAAACCCACTGTGTAAACATACACATAGTTGTGCTAGTTCTTTGAGATACTATCTCTAGAGATTAACACCTGCAGCAGTAATCAACAGCACAGTCAGTCTGAGACATCCCGGTTATTGTGTGTTTTGATAAAACCTCTGGATCCTGGGGCATCAGTGATGGCCAGCAACCTTTGGTAGGTTCAGAGATAGGCAGGGAGGTGTCAGTGGATATTACTCATGCTTAACCTCCATATATTCCCCACCTTCGTGTATTTAAAAGATCCCTTTCCCATCTCAGCAGCCTCTGTTCTGCTCCTCAATAGTTCTCTTATCAGATTTCATTAGTAGATATTGTTTCTGTAGATCATAAGTATATGTGTGTGAATATTTGTGTATAAAGGCTATATTGTGGATGTAGGTCTTTTCCTTTCCTATTCTAGCTTAATAACACAGAATATTATGATGACTTGAACTTTCTTCTCCAGTTGAGGATTTGTGTAAAGAAAATTTAATTATATGTTATTATTTTTAAACCTGGAACACGAATTTGGGGGAGAACTTAATAATGCAAGAGGAGAAATTGTTTTATAAAGGGTCATTTGCACAAATTGGATTTTTGGTCATCCACTTGCCTACTTACTCCTTACTATATTTTTTGATCTTTCAGCATGTATGCTCTATACAATCCATAATACATATGATGATATTGAAAATAAAGTGGTTGCAGATCTAGGATGTGGCTGTGGAGTGCTTAGCATTGGAACTGCAATGCTAGGAGCAGGGTATGTGATCCACTGTATTTCTATTTTAGTATGGGGTAGTTTTAATAAGAGTAAATAAAATCAACTGAATTATATTTATGAGACTACAGTACATGATGAGAGGAACAAGAATCCAATACTGAGTACATTTTGAATGGGCAGAACATCAAAACAAACTTAAAAAAAACAAAAAATGGTAACAGCAGCAATTAGAAGCCTATATTTTAGATGAACCTGAGTTTCCAACCCCTGACAGTTTGGGAAATCATGCTGTTGAAAGGCATCACTCACTGTCACTTGGCCAGTTGGGTTAAAATGGTACATGGTTTTGGTTTTGTTTTGATTTAGGTTCTATAAGTATTTACTTTGTGTTTTATATTTATAGGTTGTGTGTTGGATTTGACATAGATGAAGATGCATTGGAAATATTTAATAGGAATGTAGAAGAGTTTGAGTTAACAAATGTAGATATGGTTCAGTGTGATGTATGCTCATTATCTAACAGAATGCCCAAATCATTTGATACAGTAATTATGAATCCTCCTTTTGGGACCAAAAATAATAAAGGTTAGTAATAAGAATCAGCTGTGCTGGTATCTTTGTAAAAAGCAAGTTTGAAAAACCATTTTTTCCTTGGATTGTTTGGTTAAGTGACTTTATCACTGTTCATTAAATAAACCAGTCTCTTACCTGTGTAATTATTACAATTTCAATCTCTGTTTAATGCATGACTAAAGAACTGAATTTTTCAATCTTTGTTTTCATAAATTTGTGCTAAGTGAACAAATTTATTCACTTATTATTTATTCTTCATCTGATTCCTAGAATGATTTACCTGTTTTGAAGATTTCTTATAAAGTGTTTTATACTTTTAAAACCTCTTTTTAATGCCTCAACATTCAAAGATTTCAGTAACAATGACTTACTGTGGCTATTTATTTTATCTGTTTTGTGGGCAAGGAGGGTAGGGAGTGAGTAACAAGAGGAAAAGACATGCATAGTTTAAAAAGCCCTCCCTCCACCTGCCCCCACCATTCTCATTACTACTTTACCTGTTCTCCTCTGTCCTCATTGAAAGTTGTTAATTTGGGATATATTAAAATTTTTACTTTAGCCTCATTTAAATGAGACAGTATAATTCTGATTTTATTCCATCAACCTTAAAAGATATTTAGACATCTTAGATATTTGTACCCTGTCTTGTTACAGAAAGAATTTGAAACAGCTATTTTGGAGTTTGAAAAAAAAATGTTTCCAAATCCCCAGTATTCCTTTAATCTTCTATTTTGATAACAGTTTTTTCTACTTTTAACAGGGACAGATATGGCATTTCTGAAGACTGCTTTGGAAATGGCGAGAACAGCAGTATATTCTCTACACAAATCCTCAACTAGAGAAGTAAGTTCAAATCATCATAATATTCTGTGTTATTAATTTTTAAATTCATGACAGTGTTTGAAGGATTTACTATCAGTACTAAATACCAAGGTATCTAATTCTCCTGAAATTTTTAAACATCTGGCACTTAGAAACTAAATTTTCTCCTTAACTAACTAGCATTTATGAGTAGCTTTATTTGTCAAAGATTTGTCCAGGCAGGAATTGTTAACAGGAAAGAGATTATATAATATAGGAATAGAGAAGCATGGTGTAACTGTGGTTACAGTATGTCCTGGTTTGCTTGGGTAAGTCCTGGTTGATGCCTGTAATCCCAGTGTCTCTGTATGGCCTAGTGTACTTGAGAGAGGCAAGGACAGCCTGGTTTTTAAGAACACTGAGCCTGGGAAGCTAAACTAATCTGAGTTCAGAACCTGTTTCTTCCATTATTTTTTATTGTCAGCACATGATACTTGAAGGTGCATAAGACATATTCTAGAAAATTGGGGGTGGGGTGGCACATTTTTTTAGTGTCAGTTTAACATAATGATCAAGAACAGACTGTAGAGCCAGACTACCTAGGTTCAAATCTGCTTCACAGCTGTCTTCTCTTGGTCAAGGTTCATTTTTATTTCATTCGAGTTCACTTTCATCACTTACCCCTGTACTCACCTATACTCTTATAGCATAAGGAACTAAGAGTACTTTATACTTTGTAGGGTTGATATGAGGATTAAATTAGTTAATGTTTACAAAGCACTTATAATAGTGTATAGCAATTGCTATGTTAGCAGTTATTTTTAAGTGATATATATATTAAGAGATTTTAAGGTTTTGTAGGAAAAATATATATAAATACAGTGTACTGGAATTCGGTTGGAAACATTATGACTATATGGTAATCTAATAACCTTTAAAATATATAAAATTACATAGCTAAAAATATATATAGGCATACTTGCCCTTTATTGTGTGGGGCTTCCCCTGATGGCTCAGATGGTAAAGAATCCACCTGCAATGCGGGAGACCTGGGTTCGATCCCTGGGTTGGGAAGATACCCTGGAGGAGGGCATGGCAACCTAGCCCAGTATTCTTGCCTGGAGAATCTCCATGGACAGAGGAGCCTGGTGGGCTACAGTCCATGGGGTCGCAAAGAGTCAGACACGACTGAGCCACTAAGCATAGCACAGGATTGCAGATAATGCATTTTTGCAAGTTTAAGGTTTGTGACAACCTTGCATCAAGCAAGTCTGTCGGCATCATTTTCCTAACAGCATTTACTCACTTTGTCTGTCTCATTTTGGTAATTCTTGCAATATTTCAAACTTTTTATTGTATTTGTTATGGGTGTTGGTGCTCTTTGATATTACTGTTACAGTTGTTTTTGGCATTGTTTAGCAATAAAGTAATTTTTAATTAAAATAAATACTTTTGGGGGACTTCCCTGGTGGTCCAGTGGTTAAGAATCTGTGCTTCCACTTCAGGGGGCATGGTTTGATCCATGGTCGGGTAACTAAGGTCCCACATGCTGTGAGTTCCAGCCCCCCAAAAAGTACTTTTTAAAGACATAATGCTATTGCACACTTAAAAGACTACAGTATAGTGGAAACAGAACTTTTATATGCACAGAAAACAAAAATTATTCAGGTTACTCTTGTGATATTCACTTTATTATTTTGGTCTGTTACCAAGCCTGTAATCTCTCTGAGTTATGCCTGAATACTGCTGAACAATTAGTAGTGATACATGTAGGTAAGCAGCAGAACACAATATAACTTTACTGGTAAATAAATCCCCATTCAGTTAAGTGAGACCAAACACCAGTAATTATTGATATCTAAAAAGCCTGTGTTGAGGAGGTCCCCAAGACCATCCTCAGGTTTGATGATTCACAGGGAAGTCTAACAGGACTGAGCATATAGTCATACTCATGACTGTGATTTATTACAGCTAAAAGTTACAGAGTAAAATCAACAAAAAGGAAAGGTGTATAGGTCACAGTCCAGGAGAAACTAGGTGTAAGCTTCCAGAGTTCTCTCGCAGTGGAGTCATATGGGATGCACTTATTTTTTCCAGCGAAGAATTTTTGTGACAAGGCATGTGAAATGTTAACCAAGGAAGGTCACTGGAGACCTGATACCAAGGGTTTTTACTGGGGACTGATCACATATGCACCCCCTTGCCTGGCACATACCCAAATTCCAGACTTCCAGCAGCAAAACAGGTATTCAGCATAAACAGTTTAAGTCCAGTAACCCACTGTTATTAAGGAATGGGGAGTGAAAACTCGCTCAAAAATCTAACTTTCCATACTCCAGCCAAAGGCCAGACTAATATGTAAACCTTTCCAAGGATAAGCAGTCAGGACTGCTGTGAATTCTTCTGCACAGCCTGGCATAGGTCTTATATTACTCATACATAGTTCATGCAAACCAAGTAAAATATGCCAATAAAGAGTGCAATTAAGCAGCAAAGTCTAATAAATTGAATAAATTCCTATAGTCACATTATCAGGGAATGCCTGTCTTCATTGTCTGATATTGCCATGTTCCACCACCAGGAGGCAGCAGTATCAGCATTGTCTTGGCTGGCCTAATAGAATTTTAAGCAAATATCTCTTGGAGTTGGTGATGGACAGGGAAGCCTGGCGTGCTGCAGTCCATCAGGTCGCAAAGAGTTGGACATGACTGAGTGACTGAACTGAACTGAAGCAAATATTTACTTAAATACAGTTTTCTATTTTAGCAATGTCGAAGTATTTCCATTAGCAGAGTAACTAGTTTGAGAAATTAATCTGGTGTGTGTTGTGCATATTGTGGAGATGTGATGAACTTCTAACATTAAACAGTCCTTAGATTATGCTGTAGATACATCTGCTATAAGCCTTGTGATAATTTTGCTTAAGCATTCTATTGTAACTAGTAACATTATCATTGAAGCTTATTTCAGACAGACCCCTTAACTATAGACCCTTGTCTCTTTTAATTGGTCCTCTATTCATAATATAGGTGCATTTGATACAAATTTTTGATAGAAAATTTGATATAAAGCATGTCCTGGCAGACATACAATTTACTGAAAACTTCTACTGGCACCCAAGTTATTTGTTCTTTGCAGGCTCAGACAGAACCTTATATATCATCACAGTGACTCCAATATGCTGCTGCTGCTGCTGCTGCTGCTAAGTTGCTTCGGTCGTGTCTGACTCTGTGCGACCCCATAGACGGCAGCCCACCAGGCTCCTCTGTCCCTGGGATTCTCCAATAAGCTAGACGACTCTAAAAGTTGTTGCCTTATCTTCTTTCATTAGGCATTATGAGAACTTAAGTTCTTGGCTCATAGTTAAATATGTGAACCTCAAATTTAGGGAAATTTAAATAGCTAAAACCAGCATTTAGTACTTATTTTTTGTGCCACTACAGTTCAAAGCACTTTTCACCAGTCTATAACAATTTGATGAGATACCATTACTATCTTCATTTAACAGATGAGGGAACTGAGGCACAGAAAGCACAATTTGCTCAGGGTTACATAGCTAATAGAGCTTCAGTTCAAATGCAGGGTGTCTGATTCCAGAAACTATGTCCTTAACCTCTATACCATACTGCCACTGAATTGCCCTTCGACACAGATCTCTGCTGGTTTCTGGGAGAGCTGTGTATTTATCTTTAATATTTTTATGCACATCAAAGTCCATCAAACGACTTCTGAAATAACAGCTTTACTTGAATTATATAGTTTAGTTCAGATTATTAATGGCTTGGCTTCTTACTAAAATATTATCCATCCAGTTGAAAAAAATTTTAAAGGTCTAAATCCTAATGAAATTTTAAAAGCTTGAAAACTTACAATCAAGTATTAGTAAAGAGCAATTTTTTGAAAACTGTTTGAAGACCAACTCACATTAACATGTTTATGTCCAGCATATTCAAAAGAAAGCTGCAGAGTGGAAGGTCAAGATAGATATTATTGCAGGTAAGACAATTTTTAAGTTTCTCACAAAACAAATTTCAACCATAATTATCTATGTTTGGTAATGGGTTGGAAATGGAGTAAAGGCAGGGTATCAGTGTTTGCTCAAGATTATCCCAATTTATGCATTTTACTGAGAACTTATAAGTGATCTAAGAGCTTGGGCTTAAGAGTTTGTCGGGTCTTCATTTGAAATCCATTCCTGAAACATACTACCAGACTATGCTTGGATTACTTTTCATTTCTAATTGTTCCTGAAGTCAAATAACACGAAGCTTTTTCTTTTAGTGGGGGACAGAATATAATCATCCACACTATGTAAATCATGTTTGATACATTTTTATTAGTAAATTGCATAACACTCACAGACATCAAAGTGGGAAAATAACTAGAAGCTGACTATAACCCAAGTAATTCTGAAAAGTCTGAAATAAGAGTATACAATAAGGGGGAATTTGGGGGGTTTTTTTTTGGACTGGATTTAACAACATAACTAGAAATGTCACCTTCATAATAATTAGTAATGTGTACAAGTCTGTATTCCTATTCAGTACTGTCATTCCTTACTTAGTTTAAGATATAATATGCAACGTGGAGACCTCAGAACAGTTCCGACAGTAGTATACCAAGTCAGAGACTTGCTACTTCAAGTGTGGTTGTCAAGTATGGACAATCTGCATTGACATCCTTTGGGAGCTTGTCAGACTTGCAGAGTTCAGGCTCCACCCAGACATACTGAATTACAATCTGCATTTGAACAGGATTTGACTTGAAGGTGATTTGTTTGCACATTAAAATTTAAGAGCTGTGATTTAGAGAGAATGCTTAGTAGGAAGATAATTAACTACTTACTACTGTTACTAAAATCCAAACCAGAAATTTTTAAGATCATCATGGTTATTATGAAACTGGTAGCTATCAATTATTTAGGAAATTACAAATAGGAAGGTACTACCATATTTAAGTCAAGGGTGGTAAATGTTTGGAAGTACAATTTTCATCCTTAGGTGGCTTTTGTTTCATAGAGCTGCGATACGACCTGCCAGCATCATACAAGTTTCATAAAAAAAAATCAGTAAGTCTCTTGATTCTGGTTTCTCCACATTCAGTACTGAAAAACTTCACAATAAGTAATTATTTCTAATGTTATCAAGTTGCTTGAGTAAATACAGAAAGCCAGCCTAGATGGTAAATATTTAACTACAGAATGGGCCTATGATCATAACAGCCAATATGCTGGTTTAACATGAATTCTTTCTCCAATACTTTGGGCATAAAAATAAAAAAAACTAAGTTTATTTTTATGCAGTATACATTTTATTACTTTGTACTAATGCATTCATATTACAAAGGCAACTTAATGGAAGAATGTTTCTTTAGATATTTGAATAATCCGAAAGAACACAAACAGAACTGCACATTAAAAAACTCATTTTGATAACAGAAGTTCAACAACAACAAAAAATCTTCCTTTCTTACAGGTAGACATCGAAGTGGATTTAATTCGGTTTTCTTTATAACAGCCTCCAAAGACAAAAGCAGCTTAAAATCTAATTAAAATGAATAAAAAATTTGTTTATTAAACTACTGGTCTTCGGCACCATTTTCTGTTTTCTGTTGTTTTGATGGAGGTTCTTCTTCGTTGCTTTCTTCTCGTGCTCTTTTTACTGCTCCTATACAATAAGAACTTTCATTAAGGGCACTGAAAGTATTACTCTTGAGCATAATTATCAAAAATAATTTTGTTTAAAAAGATTAGCAGTAACTTCCCTAATGAGGAAAGGCTTTTCCTTTAGTACAGACCTGCTCTCTAAATTTAGCTTCCAAATATTTTTGTTTGCCACATGTAATACCACCATAACCAGGGTCAATCACAATCTGAGAATTATCACTTACACAAAACCACACTGCTGTTCTCGCCCAAATAATTTTTCATCAAAGTACCAAAGGACTTAGAAAAACTTACCAGATGCACCATTTGCATCACGTTCATCATCACTATCAAATTTAGTTTTCTTCCCCTGAAACTGTACTCTTCCTTTAGCAGACCCAGCCTGGGCAGCTTTATTTCCCTTTCCTTTTCCTTTAAATCTGCGACCTGGAGAGACATAATTAAGAAATCATCAATCTTTTAAATCTCTTGTCGATGTCTTTTAACACCAATTATAAATTTTTAACCAAGTAAATGAGTTAAATTGTAAAAGAAAATCAGAACTAATGACCTTTTGACTTCCATTTGTTTAGAGATTCTTGTTGATCTTCTATTATTTTTTTCAGTGCTGCTTTTTCCACATCTCCTTCTAATACTTCCCAGGTGACTTCTTTGTTCCTTAGCTGTAGGTTACCATTATTGGCCTCTTTTGCTTTATCCAGTGCTTCCTTAGCTTTTTCTTTAAATAGAATTATTCCCTACACCAAAGACAGAAAAACAAAAGCCAGGGAATTCTACTGAACATCAGACATCAGGAAGGAAGTTATTAAAAAGCTTGCAGTCACTAATTTCCAATAGTTATTCACAGCACAATCTCAAATATATCAACCAGACATCACGTCTAGTTATAACAGTAATAAAACAATTGCCTTCTTCTTTAATGTCATCTCAAGGTAAGTTTCTATGGGTTTTTCATTGATTGGTAAAAAGCACATGAATATTCCCAAACCTCCTTGGCTCCTCTGACAAAGTGTATCCATTTTATTTCACCATGATTTGAGAAAAGGGTGTGCAAATCTTCTCTACACGTCTGATCATCTAAGTCTCCTGAAAATTTCAGCAAGCAGCCAATCTTTTCTTCTAGAGATTTCTGTAAAAACATACAAGGCAATACAAAGTTTCTTAAAGCAATCACAAACCAGAAATGGCATGTACCACTCTCTACATATATAAGGAATAACTAGAAGCTAAAATGTTTTGAAGTAGTTTAAGTAGTTGGTGTGTTTTCCTTTATCATCCTTTGTTCTACATGGCTTCTGATTTTAACTTTAACTTCTCCAGCAAGTAATCATTAGTTATATAAATCTTATTGCTCTGGATAAGTAGTAATTTTAGGCAATATTTGGCTAGTACTTCAGTGCATTGACAACTGCAGACTTGCTTACATATTTTCTTTAAAAAGTCCCCAGAGCTTTTTGTTCTAACTTTGAATTAAAGATTTCGTAAGAGACTAGTAATATATACTTACCATTTCAGCACTTTCTGCTAGCTTTTGTTTTTCTTCTTGCTCTCTACAAATAAAAATATCATTAGAACATTTCCATCTACTTTATGCATAAGAAAATTAAACCCTGATAAAGTTAACCTTAATCACGATTACTAAACTACTAAATAATATAGCGATCTATTCTCTAACCACACCAAAAGCTCAGATTTTTACCATCAAGCCTAATTTTAAGTTTCACATATAAAACAAAAGCCAGTCCTTGCGTTTTCAGACTCTCTGATGCTAGAGTGCAACAGAATGTGGCCCTAGGATTATCAAGGCAGCTTAGGACCTCAATACTTCATAAGCAGAAGAAAGCTCTATTGCTACTCATATTTCAGAGCTCATCATCAGCTTCACCTCCCAGAACCAATAACTTTACCTCTGTCAAAGCTTTAAGGAACTAAAATGTGATTAGCTCAACGTACTTACTGTTTAGCTCGTAATTTAGCTTCCATTTTATTTTGCTTTCTTTCTTCATTTTTTTTGGTGAAGTAATCTTCCCTAAGGACACAAAATGTAAAGGCTAAGTTCATGAGAACTTTTGAAGACTGAAAGTTAAATTGAATGATTTAAGATATCACATAAGAATAAATGTTACATTTTCTATCAACATAATTACCTATAAATTCAAAATACACTAAGGAAGTTACTCTTATTTTTAAAATAACAGCTTTACTAAGAAGTAATTCACAGGCCATAAAATTCACTCTTTTAAAGTACATGATTCAATGACTTTCAGTATAACACTGATAGCATGATTTATCACTATGCATCTCTAGGTCCGTCAGGTTTATTTTAAGTACTTAGTATTTAGAAGACTGTACAATGCAGAAGTAGGAGATTATGGACCTGCAATTCACTTTAACATGAAAATGTCCAGTCTGTGCTAGTTTTTAGACACAAAGGGAGATACACAAGAATGTGATTCACATCTCTATTTATTAGTCCTCTGTACTATATGAAAACACAGGCATATAGACTATGAGAAATACAAACAGATGATTGTACAGTGATCTATTCTCTAACCACACCAAAAGCTCAGATTTTTACCATCAAGCCTAATTATAAGTTTCACATACAAAACAAGTACTGAAACTTAACCTTCTTTATTCATTGCTAGCAGTGAAAAGGTCCTAATAAACCCTTCCTTACAGTCAAAGGACTAATAGTACCACTAAAAGAGCTTTAAGTATTTCTCAAAGAATGCCTAAGGATACTAAAAATACTGGTCTTACTTAACCCCAGCAGTTTAATTCTAGATAACTAAGTGCCCACCCCTCAAAAAAGTCAGCAAACAGACTTACTTGAAAAGTATTAGCAGGTCTGTGTCTTTGTACTTCTGGCCAGGGGTCTCGACAAACTTTTTAGCTGATTCAATACTATCAAATACAGCAAATATTGAACCCTTTGAAAAAGGTAAGAAAAAAAATTTTTTTTAAGTTACATCCCAGGTAATTTTCAACCAGAGAAAGTAACAACATACAAACATACCTTAAATGCTTTGTGCAATGTTCTTCTCATCTGAATATTTAGTACTTGACCTTTATCTTCCAACCATTCTTTTATGTCATCAAGAGCTGCATCAGTTGGGAAGCCTTTCTATGAAAAGAAGAAACACACAAATGGCATCTCAAATAAACAATGTCTCAGAGATTCTGATTTACTGTGTCTTGAAATGAAGCCAGGATATACATATTATCTGTCTCTTAAATGTTTAATAGCTCTAGTTAAAAGCTGTTGTTGACCAGTGCAATAGAAGTGACCCGTTTATCTGGGATCCACTTCAAAATAATCCAGGTAGGGCAAAGATAAAGCAATATTAATCATGCTAATAAATGTTGAAGAGGATAATGGTACATTATATATTCAATCTACTTTTGTATGTCTGAATTTTTGCAGTATAAAAAATCTACTTAAAAATTAATGTTGAAGAAAATAGCTATCAAGTTTTAACTGTTGATAAATAACAGCTTATATGCACTTGGTGCTTACAGTATCTCAAAGATTTTGTCCCATGTTATATGGTTTTTTTTTTTTCATTTAATTCTAACAACAGTTCTATAAGGTAAAATATTATCCCCACTTACAATATAAACAGATCTGTTTTTTACATCATTTTTATACTCATCAGTCACTTCAGGGAGGGGTTTGCTGGGAGATCTTCTAATTTTAGTTTTATCTTCACTTATTTCCATGAGTTCTGCCTTTGATTTGCTCAGGGCCTCTACTATTACATTAAAGTCTGTCGTTAAACGGTTTAACCTGAAAAAATACATATAAAAGCATTGTAAGATTTAGAAAAAGCCCTTGCTGTTAACAGAAAATTTAATAACTTAAAAAGGTTTTTACCTATTAAACTTTATCATTATCTCCAAAGGAACCCAGCCTTCATCCAGTTTGATCTGTTCCTTTAAAAATTTGTCCCGTGGCAAATTGAAGTCTCCAAAATAATACTGCAAGATAAGTACAATATACTGCAGAGCACTGTAGAATATCGACTCTAATCGTGGAGTTTTTAAAAATTACCATTACATCACCAAGGTCTAGGCTTTAAAAGTAGCAATATGTGTCAAAAGTTAACTGGCAATAAACATTTTCCCTTAAATACACTTTAATAAAATACTTATAATGCAACTTAATAAAAATATAAAACTAAAAATGACTATTGAAACAATGCAATTAGCAGACATGATAATAGAAAGCCTTAAAACAAATTTAAGGATTTAATAGATGAAAAGCCTCATTTCAGTGTGGGACGAAGAGACTATTATAAAAACTGGAATAAACTTGTTAATCACTCTAATTTTTATTTTTTTTTAAATTAGAAAAATCTACTGTTCTCTACATCATGTGAAACAGCTTTTAAAAAAATTACTTTAGCTTTTTATTTTGTTTCAGGTGCTGGACAAGGCAACTATATTCCAGCACATCTTTTTAACCTAATGAAACCTTCTTAACCTTCTTCGCCAACCAAAAGAAAAATAACTAACTTATGTGTAAAAATATACAGGAAAAGCTTATGATTATATAACAGGGAATTTGAATTGTCAAATTATCTTACAAAAAATAATCAAACTTACTTTCAAAACACTTTTGTACTTGTGAAAAGGAAAAATTCACACTGAAATACAAAATCTGTAGGCTTGTATAATAAATTAAGAGCATTCTTATACATGAAACAAATGGTTCAAATAGTTTACACATAATTCAATTTTCAAAAAATACATTGGAACCATGTGACTAGTGTGGCCAACAGACTCTAAACAGAAGAGGTAACCAGGTGCATCTTCTGAACAGTGCAATTAAGAGCCTCTATCACAGGCTTCCCTGGTGGCTCAGTGTCAAGAATCCACCTGTCAATGCAGGAGACACAGGTTCGATCCCTAATCCGGAAATATCCCACATGCTGCAGGGCAACTAAGCCCATGAGTCCCAACTATTGACCTTGTGCTCTAGAGCCTGGGAGCTGCAACTGTTGAGTCCATGTGCCACAAGTATTGAAACCCAAGCACCCTAGAGCTGTGTTCTGCAACGAGAGAAAGCACAATAAGAAGCCTGCACACCACAACCAGAGAGTAGCTCCCTCTCCACAGCTAGAGAAAAGCCTGTGCAGGAATGAAGCCCAGCACAGCCAAAAATAAATATAAATAAAATATTTTTTAAAAAGAAAAAAAAATAGAAAAATCTAAACGTTTATTAAATTTCCTGTGTTATTTTAAATTTCCTATGTTACAACTTTACTAATTTCTTTACAATTGTGAAAAAAATTACAAATTATTCTGTGTTCAATATTTAGAGGATATAAAAAGTTTATCAAAACTTATAATTGAAAGCAATGAAAAACATTTTCACCTAACAAGTTTGCCAAAAATTCTAAAAACAAGAATACCTAGTATTGGCTTGAACACAGAGAAATGGTCATGCAGGTAGAGATATTAACCACCAGTAAATATCAAATATCAAAAGTTCTTAAGAAAAATCATGCATACCCTTGAGGCAGAAATCAGTAAACATGTTTAGTAGTATTTATGTTATAAAGATATTCATCACAGAACTATTACAGTTAAAAAATTGGAAATGTCCTACATATCAAATAGTAAATGGTATAAATTATTGGTGATATGAAACTACTACCCCAAAATGCATCTTATTTTTGGTGGGAGGGAAAGGAAAAAAAATTATGTTATCATGAGTACTGACCAATGTGTGAAAGGGTATTCATCAGTCTTTTAACCTTGACTACCTCAAGAGCATGAGATTTGAGAAGGGGTAGGTTGTGGAAGGGACATTATTGACTTTTTCCACATATATTTTTGTAGTATTCCAAATACTGATCATAGAATAATTTATAATTTTTCTTCACAATTATAAAGAAGTTAGTAAAAAAAAAGTTGTAACAGGAAATTTAAAATAACAGAGAAGTGCAACTTTTTACAATACCTAAATTTAAAAAAAAGTTTGAGAACAGACACTTAAAAGTTACGATGATTGAGAAGACCTAATTGAGTACAAAAACTATCAGGACCTTCAAGAATAAAGTTCTATTTAACAGGAAAGGTATTTTACAAAGAATTTTTAAATTATCCTTCTATGTGCTATGCATTATTCCAAAATGTTTGACATTTTATGAACTACTGTAAACCTCACAACCATCTTATGAGGTACTAATTCTATCCTCATTTTATAGACCAGGAAACAAAAACAGTAAAGAAGTAAAGTTATACTGGTCTATAGTGTTACCTTTTGAAATGTCTTTGTCCTTGGGTTTTAGAAACTGGCTCCACCAATACAAAACTGTACACTACTGTACATCTATCTTAACTCCAAGAATCAAAAACAAACCAAAATGTTCGACAGGTCAATATATCAAAATTAAATGCTCTATCTTTGTTTTAAGGTCCTAAATCTCCTCTCAAAGAGTCTGTTTTCACACTGTAATACCAGAAGAATCATACCTCAATTTGATGACAGATTTTGGCCTCCAGAGCAGCCATTTTTTCATTATCACCATTTTCAGCCATTCTGGCTATCTGCAAAATTTCCCAAATTGGCATAAAAGTTATTTACCTTTTACGTAGAACTCAAGACATTTAAAAGAATGTTTTAATTATCAATATCCCACTATTTTCCTAAATAAAAAACAATTTCACGGGTTCAATTTCTCTACTCAATTTTCTAATTTCAACAAAAGAAAAATTTTGAACTAAGTGATGAAAAACTATCAACGATCCTCACTTCTTTCAGTTAATCATTGTTCCATCCTCTATAACAAAGGGAGTGGGTCATCTTCATTTAGCTGATCCAGAAAGCTCTGAGGGAAAAAACTCCATGCATTTAAGCATATCAGTTGTTAATACCATGGATTTCAGTCTTGTTTGGTGTGAACTGAATTTCTTAAAATCAGCCACAGTTGATTTACCAAAAACAAGATTATGTTATCAAAACTTTTGGGTGAAACAAAATTTTAAAAATATTACACAGCGTTAAATAAATAAATGCTAATATTAAGGAATATATGAAAATGATCATTTGAGAACCTGAGAACACTAAAACATTAAACTGGAGTATGCCTACTATTTGGGCTTCTCAGGTGGCGCTAGTGGTAAAGAACCTGCCTACCAATGCAGAAGACATAGAGAAGGGTTCCATCCCTGGGCCGGGAAGAAGCCCTGGGGGGCATGGCAACCCACTCTAGTATTCTTGCCTAGAGAATCCCATGGACAGAGCAGCTTTCTGGGCTACTGTCCACAGGGTCGCAGAGTCGGACATGACTGAAGCTGACTGAGCATGCACATACACATGCCTACTAACATTGGTTAACCTTACAGCCACATTCCTGTTTCACATCCCTCACAATAACATTGCAAGAAAATCATAAGTCTGTGAAGTTGGTTTGCTAGGACTAATAGTCTCCTGACTTCAAATTATTTGCTTCTAGTGCTCCATTAAGCCATCAAAACACACTGTATATTTATAAGAATTCATCAAGGCTATCTGCCATTAGTTAACTCTAGTGATACACTTCTTGGAGGCAACCCGTTATAACTTGTAATTACTATGCAATAACATGGATGCACACTGGAAGCTCTCCTATGGTGTAACACCTTACTAACAAAATTTGGTCAATCTTACGCAATGGTTTTTTCACCACGATTCCTAAGTTATTACCGTGATCTGTTGTTAGTCGCTTAGTCGTGTCAGACTCTTTTGCGATCCCATGGACTGCAGCCTACCAGGCTCCTCTGTCCACGGAAATTCCCAGGCAAGAATACTGGAGTGGGTTTCTATTTCCTTGTCCAGGGGATCTTCCAGACTCAGGGATCGAACCAGCGTCTCCTGCACTGGCAGGCGAGTTCTTTACCACTGAGACACAGGGAAGCCCTACTGTACTCCAGAGCCTTCTATAAAGAAAAGGGTGAAAATAAAATAACTATTTAGTCCCTGTAACACTTCTTTGGCCTACTCAAAACTGGAACTTCGTTTCATGAGATACACTCTTAGAATGTACAACTGAAATATTATCCACGTTTTTCAATTTCGTTCAGAAGCCCTGATGTGAGTGAATAATGACCGTTAAAACCCAAGAGAGTGACGCCAGGAGAAAACCTGCGACCCCGATTCCCTGACCCCAGTCTGTCTCGTATGATCCAAGAAACCCTTCTGCGTTTAAGCCACGTCAACCTCCCCAGAATCTTATACAGCCCAACCGAAACATTCGCTTTCGGCGACACTGCAAAACGGTGAAGGTACGAAACCTTAAAGACGCAGTGAGGATGCAGGTAGTCTGAGTCCAAATAATCCGCCACAGTCCGTCCCAAAGCAACCAATTGGTCGCCTGGGCCCCAGCCACGTGCGAGGAAATCCTCGCTCCCCCGAAGAACGCAGGATCGGCTCCCCACCTCGCAGCGGCCTGCGCCCCTTAGCCCCCAGCGCAGCTTCCCACATACGGCTGCGGCCCACGCAGCGCTCTCCCGGAATGCGAGGAAGGCGAGGAGCGGACGCACCCAGCGTGAGGCAGCAATGAAAGGGACGCGCCGTCGCGCACCACGCAAAACAGACCCTTTTGTACTTTCTTCTCTTTACCCGCCTAGAGTTGCTCACCTTGCAGCTCCTTGCCCCACAGAGACGCGCCACACGGTCACAGGCAGCGTCTGCACTCCTCTTAGTCGCCAGCTTGCCCACCGCGCGTAAAGAAGATGGGGGCCGTCCCGGCAGCCCTCGCGGTCAAAGTGGGCGGGGCTTCCGGCGCACCCGAGCCGGCTCCGCCCTGTGAGCATGCGCCTCGGCTGCAAACTCTCAAGGTCTGAGATGTCCTGCGCCTTATTTCAATGAGGTTGGGTTACAATGTTCAGCAGCACTTTGGAAGTGTTAGGATAAATATTTATTTTTAAATATTTCTGGAGAGCATTTGTATTTCCAGCCCTTCCTTGGGCTCTCCATTCACATGAAGTGGTTGACTTTTTTCTGACTATACTTTAAAAAAAAAATTGTTTTGATTATCCGTAATAGTTAACCCGTTTTTTAAAAATGACAAGTAAAAAATTTCATATTTTAAATGAAAAATTCATGGAATCTTAAATTTGAGAAAAAAAATACAGTAGCGAGTTTAGGAGCTGGAACTCTTGAGATCAGACTGCCTGCGGTCAAATAGCAAGCAGCTCTCCAGTTTACAGGTTGTGTGACTTTGGGAAAGTTACTCGACCTCTCTATCCTTCATATATAAAATGGGGCCAGTGATAACTATCTTACATTTTATATAGCTGTCGTGAGTATAAAACATGGTACAACATATACCTTTTGTCGGGAACTGTGCCTGGCATATAATAATAGGAGCAGCATGTATTAATCTAAAACAAAACACGTCGTTTAAAGAGACCGAAATGCCATCCATAATAGTGCAGAAACCTACTGCTCTATTAGAGCGCCTCTTTTTTGAACCAGCTGCAAAGACTGTGGGATCTTAGTTCCCCCACCAGGGATTGAACTCAGTCCCTCAGTAGTGAAAGTCCGGTACCCTAACCAATGGACTGCCAGGGAATTCCCAAGAGCCCATTTCTATTAATATACTTTTTGCACAATAATTTTAGTCACTTAAGGGAGTTTTTTCTTGTGATGAGGCAAATCTTCCCAGCATTTTCTTGAAAATTTAAAACATCTGGTGAAATAGTCTGTTAAGTGAGTTCAGAGTATTTTGGCAGTTCCAAAACAGATCAAATGAATTTATCTGGGAAAAAAAAAATTCAGTTATAGATTCAATCCAGACATTACATCAAGCCAATGAGAAAAAACTGAGTTATGCTGAGGTAATTTAAATTCAAATTAATCATGTTCACTTTTATCCACTCAACAAATATTTATCAAGTCTCTACTTTGTGCCAGACAAAAGCAATTCACTTTATGATCAAGTTAGTGAGAATATTAGTATTTAATAGGACAAATTATATGCATGTCAGGGTAGCCTCACTCAGTGGTTCTGAGTATTATTTACTCCATGCCTACTAATGTCCTGGTATGGAGCTTGGCAATGGAAATAAAAAGAAGACCCAGACTCTGCCTAGAGAGAGTGACACCTGAACAAATGTCCCTGCTCCTTTATGCCCCCACAATGTCTGGGTAAACTGCAGATACAGTCTACTACCAGAAACCACACTTATTGCAGAAGATATATTTATTGCTCCCATCAGGCCCCTGGTCCTTTACTTCTTCCCCTTCTTCTTCCCTTTCTTCTTCCTTGTCTCTCTCTTCTAGGGGTCAAGCTCTATGCAGCTATCACCCTTCAGGGAAAATGGATTCCTGGCTGCACATGGGGTAAGTTCTTTTTTCAGATGAAGCACCAAAAAGACTTTCTCATGCTGATATCCATTTCTCTCATGCTGATATTCATTTCTCTCATACCATAACTGTATAGGATAATATATTAAAGACCACCTTTTTGAGTGTTACTAAGTAGACTTAATAAAAATATTCTAGACAGTAACTTGGTAATAATATGTGCTAAAGTTTATGATATGCATAGTTGATGCCCCCAAAGTGTATTCTAGGGAGATTTTTACATATGTGCTTAAGAAGGTATGTTCAAGAATATTCATAGGTGCATGGTATATAAATGCAAAGAATTGGAAATACACTAAAGGTCCACCAAAAAAAGAATGGGCAACTAAATTGTGGTGTAATTAAACAATGAACTAATAAGCTACACAGTAATGAAAAGACATAAACCAAACTACATGCATTAATACTGATGAAATTCACAAACATGATGCTGAGTGGAAAAAAATTTTTAGAAGAAATATAAGTAGCACCCCTAGCCATTGTGGCAATGAAAAATCCCTCTATATTTCTAAACACTGCTGCTGCTGCTGCTGCTGCTAAGTCGCTTCAGTCGTGTCCAACTCTGTGCGACCTTATAGACAGCAGCCCACCAGCCTCCCCCATCCCTGGGATTCTCCAGGCAAGAACACTGGAGTGGGTTGCCATTTCCTTCTCCAATGCATGAAAGTGAAAAGAAAGTGAAGTCGCTCAGTCGTGTCCTACTCTTCTCGACCCCATGGACTGCAGCCTACAAGGCTCCTCCATCCATGGGATTTGCCAGGTGAGAGTACTGGAGTGGGTTGCCATTGCCTTCTCCGTTCTAAACACTAAGAAATGGTTATTGCTTTTCCCCTTCCTTTTCTGCAATACTGAGAACAATTAGTCTAGGATAATGGCATTATTTTAGCTTAGTTAGGCATTTAGTTTGAAATATTTGTTAGCCATCCAGGTAGAGGTGTCAAGTAGACAGCTGATAGATGAGCTCGCAACTTAGGAGAGAAGGCAAGGTTGGAGATACAAATTTTGGAGTTATTAACGTAAAGAAAACATTTAAAGTCATGACATTAGATGAGCTCTCCTAGAGAGAGTATAGACAGTGAACATAAGAGCCCAAGACTGAACCTTCTAGTATTGCCACTTTGGGGATATTAGATAAAGTAAGAGAAGCATGCACAGGAACTAGAATAAGCACAGCATTCAGAAAACTAAG